CTTACTGTACAATGACATGTCCTGGAAAATGAACGGCTCTGAGCCAATAGACATATTGATCAGAGTGTCAGTTTCCAAGACATCTTCATTATTTAAAAACACTCGAAATGTGGCAAGTAACCCAGTTGTATCATCAATTTCACAATTAGAAGACGGTGAATGGCGAGATGATAAATTGTTGACAAGCAAAGTCCTAAAGGCAGACACAAAAGAGTGGCAACTTGGATTAGTATTTGAACCCCCATGACTTCTTATGCAACCAAAAAAATTCTCCAAGGGATCTTGATTAAAATTTCTGGTGCATAAATAAGAAAATCCCTGGACACATTTTAATTTATTCCAAATATAGTTCAAGCCTTCTATTGTACTAATCCAGTTTTTGATGCAAGGAGGTTTTGCAAAACCCCTACTTTTTATGAACTGCATTGAATTCAAAACTAATTTAGCTTCACGCCAAAATATAGTATGAGGGGACTTACTTGAAATTGCACATCGAAATTGTTTTGCATTCAATGGCAATTTAGATAACCCATTGACACTATCAAATAAGTAGTCCATGAACATCAAAAATTCTCCAGTACCATATAAAGTTACACTTCCACCTGCTGCTTGGTAAAGAGAATTTTGAAGTCCTAGTGCTACCCGTTGAGAAAATACTTGCGCAGCAAGACTGACCTTCATACGTTTCATTTTTGTTTGATCAAGATGATGTTCAGTTAATTTGGGGCAACGACGAAAGAATCTTGAACTTGAATCATAGTTATAATAATCTATGATGTCTTTCCAAGATGCTTCATATTCGAGCCCACTTAAACCTATAAATTTAACGTTGTACTTAGCAAAATTATTCCTCATGCACTTTAACAAATGTGGAGGATCATATAAAGGAACTATCTCATGGCCATCTATTTCGAAAAACAATTTATTCCATTGAAGGTTATTAGCTTTATAATACTCTTCTGTATCTTTTAAAAGCATATTAACCACTTTGCAATTTGCTGCATATTGGTCGCAAACTGTGGCAATAACATTTAGTCCGATACTAAATAACTTTCTTGCCACATCAACAATAAGAGATTTTAAATCAGAACTATTTACCCCACCTTCAGAAAAGTAAAAAGCAACTGGTTGCTTCCAACGATCTTTTACTCCTTTTATCATGAAAACAAGTGCATGATCCACAAATAAACATTTTCTGCCATTTGCTAGCTCTACAAAGCCAACAATGTGATCCTTTTTCCGATCATATGACAACTCTGTAGATAGTGATATTTCATCAAACATCAAAACACAGTATTTGCTACTTTCATACTTTTTAAGAGAAATAGCTGAACCTAATGTATTAAAAAGACACTCATTAATACCGCTATACAAAGGTATCTCTGAAAGTAACTTTTTCAATGTTTGAGGAGATGGCAAAATAAATATTTGTCTCCAAAAGTAGTAAGCCTTTGGAGACTTTTTATACAGACTTAAAGCAAGAATTTTGTCATCATCTGTGAATTTTCTTCCTTTCGGCTTTTTAGTATGCTCCCTTAATTGAGACAATATAAAATTTCTAGCTCTTATATTTAATGTTTCCGGAATATTTAAAAACTTTTCAGAACATTTTATACTCTGTTGCAGTTTATCCCTTAAATTATTGCAATGTTTGTTAATCCTTCTTACCTCCTTGAACAAAATCCTTGATATGTCATACATTTTACGTGCCTTCGGTGTCAAACCACTCCTGCGCTTTGTTTGTATATTTTTTAAAAACTTGCAGCTACCCCCAAGTACCCCTGTTGATCAGAACAACATGTTGTAATATCATATTTGATTAACTAATTATTATTGCTGCAATTATTATTAAAAAAATACCTTTGCGTAAAACTGGTGATAGAATAAGTGACTTAGGGGTACTGCAAAAATCCTTTTCCAAGTTTTTAGGCCTCCATCTCCTAACTAAGAACATAAATATTTATCAGTAATTTTTTGCATATGGCAACAAATTATTTACAATTCTAATTACTTGGCCTTTTCACTGACGGGGTTGCTAAGTATTCTCCTTCTCTTGAATCAGATTGAATCTCCAACCCTCCATCATAATTACTTGTGGAGCCTGCATCAGAAATTTCTCCTAGTGTAACAGGAGAACTATTCCTTAATTCCTGTACAGGAGATATAGACATATCCAACCCCACTTCTATGAAGCTTGAAGAAGCTTAAACAGAAATAATTTTATTAATATATAATATTTTATTATATAAATTATTTAAAAAAAGACAGACACAAGACACAACTACCTAATTTCAAAAAAGACTAAGCAACTTGTATTCAATTACCTGGGGTAGGATTACTATTCTTTGACAATCTGTACGAGCCTGCTTTTAGATTACTTTTCCGGATTGACACACCACGTTCTGAAATAATATAAGTTTTTTAAATCTATTCATTATCATTTTTATCTTTTAAATTTTAACATTCTTACGAAATCTTTCTCTATCCATCAAGCAATTTTCAGTTCGATAGGGATCTCCAGTGAACCCTACAAATATCAAGCAAAATACGAATTGAGCTAAATATAAATAAATTATTATAACACATTCCTACATTATGAATATTGTATGTACAAACCTGGCATATTCAGGGTCGGGAGAGCATTAATTTTAAGTCGCCTATTCGAACTTTTAGAAAAGTTTTCCACTCTACAGATATCTGCAAAATGTGCATCGCAAATGTATCGCGAATTGCCACAACGCAAAGGGGTTAAATCATCCATTAGAGGATTATTAGCCCTTTGAACCCAAACTGCAAACATCTAACAATAAGATATTTTCATCATATTTTCATTATAAATTTTCATTATATAAATCTAATATATAATCATACATACCTGATCGTTACTCACGGGAAAAACATGCAATTTAATATTCAATTTAGAATTTAAACAATTTGGTACGTGACACGCCATATTCAACTTATTTATTACACTCACAAAAACAGAATTCAGAACAAAACTCTCAAACTCAGGTTAGTACTACTTCGATCAAATACAGTAGGAAATACAGCACGGGTTTTTCCCATCGACACAAGCGAGTCATAGCTCGTGCCGTGCCCGATTCGAATTTGAAGTTGAGCACAAGGGCCATCTATAATCTAAGCTTGGAAGTACGCCACGCAAAAACAGTGCAAAGCCCATTGGTTCGGAGATAACCCCCATGAACAATATAAATATAAATTACTAGAAAAAAAATAAAGAATGAATAATATTAATATAATAATTAATGAAATATTTTATTATATATAAATATATATAAATCATTAAGTTTACCGACAACAATTTATTGGTAATTAAATAGTTTATATATAATTAAATAACCGGAATAATTAATAATAATATAAATATTTTATTATATATAATATATATAAATATATATAAAATATATTAATATATAATTAAAAAAGATTATTTTACGGAATAATTAAATTTTATATATAAATATATTACTTAATTGAACAATATAAATATAAATTACTAGAAAAAAAATAAAGAATGAATAATATTAATATAATAATTAATGAAATATTTTATTATATATAAATATATATAAATCATTAAGTTTACTTAGGTTGAAGCTACCATATTATGATTTCGATAAACAGATTTTCTTAAGTAAAAAATGAGGAGCTTGATATCAGAAACTAGATATAAAATTTCAAGTTCTAATTTATTCCTGGTTATTCAAAATTTACGTTAAGCCAGTATTTACAGTATTTTTCGATTATATGTGCCGCCATCTAGTTTTGCCACAGTCATAGTAGATAATAGTATACTAGATAAATAAGCATATAGAGTGTATACAGCTTTATTAATAATAGTTTTTAACCCTAGACAATATATTAATATAGACGTTTCTCTCTCGCGGTATTTGCGTTCAGAGAGCTAGGGAAAGTCACGACCGCAATATTGGGTGATGGCGCTTTAATCGCATGTCGCTCGGCAGCCTCGTGCTCCAAAATGCATTCAAATTAAAGCGCCAAAATTAGAAATAAAAGAAAATTGTCAATTTTAAAAATAATTTATTTGTATTTAAATTTTGCATTACAATAGTCTTATATTGACATTGTTATACAATAACAAAACATACCAAACAATAATACATATATTAAAATAGATATCAAAGTAAATAGCAATATGTTGCAACAAACATATTTATTTTAAAAAAAGGAAAAATAAAAAGTTTAACGAATTACAGGATTCCTGCCTTCAAGTGGATAATCATTCATTATTCACTAGCAATAATGTTGTGAACACAAAACATGGTGTTTAAATTATAGTGTCTGTGCATTACTTTATTAACTAATAATCATTCCAAGTAAGATTTGTCACTTTTCAGCACATTCTTTGCGATAAATCCAGTCATGCTAAATGGCTCTTGATATTATCTTGAATATTCAAAAAACTGCTGCATTAAATTAACTTATTTTATCATCTTGCACGGCAATTGGATTTCGTTCATTAACTCAGTGGCGTTCCTAAAAAATGTAAAGTCTAGTCTATTTATGCTTTTCCATATATATTTAAGAGCCTCCAAAGTTTAATACAATTCTGAAAAGTTAGAGAAGCCTTGCCTTTCTTATAAAAGAGCCCTAGCTTGCTCCCAAAATGTATTGTGATTAAATTATACACTGCTTTAACAACTGCTTTATATCCTCTTCATTTAAAAGTTATAGATTTTGTTTGAATCACAAATGAAACCGTATAAACAATTATAAAACACTTGTAAACACAACAATCACAATAAGAATCAAAACAAAATTTTGACATTTCTGGTACATATTGCTCGTGAATTACTAACCTGTCAAACTTGTCATCGGCTCACTAGCGCCAAATTTGCGCCTAGCGGTCGTGACTGGAACTACGCGTTGTGAACGCGGATTTTGTACTGAGATAATAGGGCCTGGTTTTTAACCGTAAATTGCAGGCAATTTCATATTTTCTTTAATATTATCAAAAGCTCATTTCAAATTATAGGCTGATCGCTGTATTTTACTTAACCTCGAACTCAGAAATACAGTTTCGCGCCGGTTTAGTTGAAGTTTGGCGCTCTTGCGCACAGTAAAGTAGATCATCACTTTTACTCTCTCTATCTGTCTCAAGTATGACTTCATTTTAAATAAAAATGGCGACCATGTTACATCGTGGTGTGAATTTTGCGGAAAGTTTAGTACGAAAAAATGGAATTAAGGTAACTTAGTCAATTATTTTATGAAACGAAAATAATACTATATAGTATTATTTATGTGTTATGAATAATTTTGAAGTGATTTATTGTGTGAACTGAATAGTGTTGAGACGAGAAATTTGAGGGTCAGCTGTTTAGTGAACTATTTTAACTTAATGCTATGTTCTAAAAATGTACAGTTTACTACGTGAGTTATATAATATAATTCGAAACGAATTACTAGATTTGAAATTATCGTCTGATATAAGGGATGTGTATGATGTCTATTAATAAATACATTACATAAATATCTTCTTTATCGAGTTCAAAATTTTACCGCATGAACTGTCAGTTTGACATTTGTGACAGCCTGTATTATAATTCAATTAGAACGTGTTAATAACGATAGGTTATAATAATTGTAAATGTCATCATTCTATTTAGCTACATTGATACAATTCTTAAGGCAAATATAAAAACTTGATTATGTGGTAGCTTTTCAAGTTGATAAATATAATGCAAATTATAATATTAATTTATTATGGAAATTTTAACTGAATATCAGATTACGTATCAAGTTCCAGAAACGTTAATTTCATTATGGAGATTATCAGACCAAAATAGTTTATGACAATAGTATATATAACAATACACTTGTTATTTTATTAATGATTTCTTAAACAAATGTAAAAAAAAATAAACTTTTAAACATTTGTTGGCTGTTATAGATTTACTATTTTTTCCCTAAACAACTTAAAAACATTGTCAAAGTAATGTACAAAACCGCACAGTCATTATGTAAATCCATCAAAGTTCTTAAAAACTAAATTAAATGTTATTCTCAAACATCAATGCACGAAAAGTTATTAACAAGCTTCTAGTGATAGATTTTTTATGATTCTTTTTTAATATACCTAAGATATATTTTAATGTGTTTAATTGAACATATAAATCTTTGCTTTGTCTTTTTTTCTTGTTTCTAATTGCAATATAATTGTGTTTTTATTCTGTGTACATTACAAACATTATTACAATTTTTATAAAATAATTATTATTTATAATATTCAATATTCAATATTAATTCTTGGCGTGGACCTTTTTTGTTAAATATATTGTATACAATTTCAAATAAACAAATAAGTCTGGAAATTATCTTATCTCAATTGATTATTATTAGGAGACGCACACATTAAGTTGTACTTTGATCTTGCTTATTGTTATGTATGTAACTATATATGTATATGTATATATATAATATATGTATGTATATATATATTTATATATATATATATATATATATATATATAAATAGTCAATTATTATATATATACTAGGTGGCCCGACAGACATTGTCCTGTATCGTTATTAGTTTCAAATTTTTTAATATCCTACCCTATACTTTTTAATATCTCTTTGATGTCTTGCTTTTGTGATTTATTAATGGTCTTAGCCTAAGCAGTATAAGAAATTCAGAAAAAAATATTATAGTATCTGCGCTAAAAGAACAATATCACACTTGATTTTACCACCATAATTGTTTCAATATTTTAGTCTATGATTGTCATAATCATATAAATATATTAATTGCTGGTTGTGTTTTTTAAATACAGAGTCCAAATTCAAAAGACAAATTCAACCTTGAAGGGATAGGTTACTCTGTGTTCTCAAAGCTAAATTATTTAAAAAGCTTTTACTGACAGTATAACGTGCCTTTATAAACCGTACATTTTCGTACTATAAATGCATGTCTTATTATGTTTGCTTCAGAAATATTTCCGTACCCACTGATGATGACATAGAGTACTTTGCCAAAATGCATGAAAAAATTAAGATGCTTTAAAATCTGTACTATTTCTTTTTTATTTGTTGTTATGCTCTCCAATTTTGTGTTCTACAATATATATATATATATATATATATATATATATATATATATAATCCATTTATGAGCATATTTTAAATATAAAGTGTTTCGTCTAAAATGACTCAGGCACAAAAATAAGATATTTCATAAATTATTTTTTCTAGTCGCGTGACCTTTGAGTGTTCAATAACAGATAAATTCTATTTCCTGACCCAAAAATATATTTGTTTAATAACAACTGTTCGTGCCTTCTTATCATATTTTTTTTTTATAAAAGAAGGCAATTTTGATTACGTTATTATTTTTGTGATTTTTAAATTGAGATATACGGCTTTTTGTTAAATTTTGTAGAACATGAGAAGAATGCGTGTTTTCATTCATTTTCAGTCATTAAACGCTAATTCGAACTATTTCCGTCTATAAGTTTAGACGTATACAATAACTTTCAAAATCAGAAATTAATATTACTGTGGGATTTATGTTAATTAGCTACGCAAATACGGGTTAGAAATTCCATTATACATTATAACATATGCATACATATACATATCGATTTAGGTAAATAATTATATTGTTTCATTTCAAGTACCTATGCGTTCAGTGAGCATCAACTTCGAAAAATTAAATACACGTTGACATATTTAAAATTAATGATGGACAAGCAAATATTTAAATAATGAAATATATTTATTTGCAATTTATTAGATTCAATATGAACTTCTTCTTCCCAACTTGTACATATTTTGTTATTTACTCAAAAACAACTGTAGTTATTACATCACTCTTTTATTCGAATAATAATCCTTAAACTTAACCCTTTGAGTGCTAAAGTTTAAACAGTTCCAATATTTAATTATATGAAAATTGACAAAAAATCTATATCCATAACGAATATGCATAGGTGCATGTAAATATATTTGATCATATATGATAAGATTTTGAAATGTAAAGATTTCGAAAAAATATTGTTTCTTTTTATTTGTGAATTTAATATCTCTATAAACGGTTTGGGAATAAAAATTCTAGTAATTTATTATATATTACACGAAGTATAATTGTTATTAAAATAATTAGTGCAAAGATATTAGTTCAAACATAATTACCCGAGCATACAGATCATTTTCCTTTGTTTATTCCCTACAAATTTAATTTACCTTAGGAGATTGCAATGTAATATAATTATAAAAAAATGTATGATAAATATATGCATGAATATATTAAAATAAATTTAGTTTAAAACGAACAAAATAATAGCATTTTTTTTTTTTGAAAAAGTATTGAATCTGCCAATATTAATTTTAATGTAACATTAAATTGAAAGAGTAATCTATTAATATCATTAATAATAATATTTATAATTTTTCTTTTATTATAAATTATCGCCGCCAGTCTCTAGATATCTTAAAATACCTTATTTTTGAATCAGTTAACTGTGGCGTACTCATTGTACTTTGCGCACAGTTTTGTCATCAGCCTGATAATACATTTATTCCTTATAATACTTGTATTATACAGTAAAATTATATTTTGAGGTAGAATGCCACTTAAAAATATGTATTTTTGTTCTGGCATATTTTATATTCTAAACATCTTTAATATTTGAGTTTTTTTTCAATCGTTTAAATTTTAATAGCAAATTGTCACTGTGTTATACGCATGACGAATAAACTTGTCATGCTGCCATTTCTTTATTGCCAGTATATTCATCAATCACAATTAACCCGTTGAGGCCGCTGACGGTCCCTAAGGACCATCAACTTTCCGTTTGTTTGGCATCGTTCTCTGGAGACCGACAGTTAACTTACCATATGACTGCCGTCGGACCTGAGAACCGGCACCAGAATTTCTTTTTGGAAAATCTGTGTGATCGACAGTATTAAGAAATAAAATTATTCCTAATTAATTTCGGTTCCATATAATTTTAATAAAATATTGAATGAAAGATTTTGAGCGAGTTTCCATACAGAATTGGCCCCACCCTGGTATTTAAATAATTTTGATGCCGTTCTAAAACCTTAAAATTTTATATTTATTTTAAAATGCAATGCAATTTAGGAATAATTATATGAAATATTAATCACGTAATATATTTGTGCATTTTAAAATAAATAATAAATTTTAAGATATAAAATTGAAATTGAAATAATTTATTACACACATACAAATATATAGAACAATATATAAATAAATAAATATTTTTATTATATGCTTACAAAAATATAAAAATATTTAAAATATAAATGTACATATATGGTACTTTACTAAGCGTTTTACATAGAATTGTTCAATATATAGATTTTGTTACAAAACGCGCGCTGCGAACACTCGAGCAGTGATCTAACTGCTCTGCTCGCCTTTGCAATTGAGAGAAAACTTACGCGGCTATTCTATGAGCGCTAGCGTGTACTTGCTCAAGTTTTTTCAAGTTTTGAATGTGTTCTACCACATGGACTAAAACTAAATTTTGCACAGCATAAGAAAGAAGAATAGCCATTCTAACGATACTAATTAAAAATTAGTCCAAACAACCCCTCACTACCCAAAAATTTGTAACAAAAAATTGTTTTGACTTTTTCATAAACTAACAAATGATTATTTAACAATATTTGTTATTAACAATATAGTTCACACCTATGTGAATATAATCCCGTTATTTGTTTGTCGATATCTTTTACAGTTGCGACAAAAAACGACTTTGAAAAAAGGGGCCACTTTCGGATATTTTCAATGATATCTCGGCCAAATGATGAGCTACGGATTTGAGATTTGGTATTTCGGATTTTTTCGAAAAAAGCTATAAAATGGCATCAAAAGCATTTAAATACCAGGGTGGGGCCAATTCTAAATAAAAATGTGGTACGTGCTAAACATTGCCGACCGTTCATCATTGCCGGCTGAACGAAAAAATGAGCAAATTCGGCGCCGGGGCTCAACGTGTTTACTGGTTAAAATTTATAGGGTATTTATAGCAGAAAAACTTTGTTCACTTTCGAATACAATGTTTGGAACTGTTAAAATTTATATACCTTTTTACTTTTATACAAAAAAATTTCAGATTTTATCCGTAGCACCATGGCAAAACACCCAAACACGAAAGCTCAATGTCTTGGAGCATATATCCTTCAGCATTTTGCAGGAAGGTGGCATACCGACACCTCCGTAAGTAAATTCATAGGCATAAATATCAATAATAGTTACACATTTGATTTAAAAGTTGTTTTATCACAGATTTGGTGTGGCAAAATCATCAGCTGAAGCAGCTAAAATAGCTACGGATTTGAAAACAAATGACATTGTACTCAAAGCACAAGTTTTGGCTGGTGGTAGAGGGAAAGGCCAATTCAAATCGGGCTTGAAAGGCGGCGTTCGAATGGTTACAACGTAAGTTTGAGTCTCTCGCTTTGTATTAATATAATATTTAATAATGCTTGTTTTTTACTTTTTTATACGCTTTTTACAATGTAAATCGAGGCTATCAATAGTTTGAACATTTAAAATTATATACTTAGTTGATGAATTAAAGCTGCCTACAGACTTGTTGAAGACTAAGAACTGAATGAAGTTAATTTCATTTATTTATAACAATCAGAGTCAAATTGTATTCTATGTTTCAATGATAAAGCGGATATGACTTATTCTAGGACATAACTTTGGGAGATGAGTTAAATCTTCGGAGTATTTCAAGAAGAAGTAGTAAAAGTCTCATTGTCATGTCAAAGTCTCATTTCTCTGATGATGATTTCACTTACACTCACATATCTTTCTATACGGAGAGATTCTATACACAATTACAAACGCAGAATCAAATTAAATTTTTTAATTATTTTTAAAGAGAAAATATCAAGTTCTTACATTGTTTTTTTATGAAAATAATGTTGTCAACTTTATGCATTTAATAAGAACAAAATATTTATAAAATATTTTAATTATACATCACATTCCCTTTCTACCATTTCTATTTTGAGGATTAAGTATATTTTGAGAATTAAGTATATTGGGTAGTTTGATCAGCATACTATTACTTTTATAATTATAATTGCATTTATTATTTATATAATTATAATTGTGTAAAAGTAATAATATAATACTAAATATTTTTGCTGTTTGTATACCATTTAAAAATAACTGAATTGAAAAAATAACTGATAAGTTTTGCAAACTGTTGTATAGTTATTTTGTTCCATAGAAAAAACAAATTAACTGCATTTGTGTTATTTCTGGTATGTATATGATATTCCTGCTTGTGGTCTTTCACGGACAAGGATTATTGTAGCTTTGAATGTGACCCATAATTGTAAATGTCTTTACATCGTGTTAACAGATCTAGGATCAATGTATGGAACATAGATAAACAAGTATAAATAGATAGCTATCTCGGGCGATTTGACGTTTCATCGATTTTAGTGCGGAGCTAAGATTATCGATGGCAGCACATGTACATTTTGTAAATTAACCCCTGGTATTACTTCTACATTTGTTCATATAATCAACACAGCGAAAAAATCTGATAAAATTTTAATATTATAAATAAGAACAAAACATACGGAATACAAAATATATTTTCAAATATATCACAAACATATTTGTGATATATCACAAACTATAAATATATATATAACATATTATACAATATAAAATTATAAACAAAACAGAAATTACTGACTAATATTAACTAAAGTATATTACAGACATATATTTAAAGTACTACAAATTAAAGAGAAATAACTTATTAGTATTAATTACTTAAAGACTAATAATAATATATTAAAAACATAAAAACTAAGAAGAGAAAAGCGCAGGAGTATTGACGATAGAATGACAAATTTAGCAGGAATCACAAAACTAGAAGGAATAACAAGTAATGCAAAAATTTAAAAAGATAAAAAGAACAGATAATTTGTTAAAAAGAAAAAATACTTCGCAAACAAAAAAGTCCAAAAAACATAAAATATATATATTGATATCAAAATTGAAAGAACACTAAATTCCTAGGATTAAAATTCATTTACGAGACATTATTCTTTATTAACTCTGCATTTAATAGTTACTTTGCTATCTAATCAATCATCAATAAAGCTCCAGTCAAAAGAAATCTTTGAATAGTGTCTGTGTATGAGTGTTTTTAAAACATTACATTCAACCATGTTATGATTATGATGAAAACATTATCATCAAAATTGTCATAAAAGATCAGAAAGTATCACATTGTGTTTACAATGAACAGAAAAAAGTTTTATGCACATGCAATCGTTGATGAATTAAAAAGTAAAAGCAACGTTTTTGATTTCGAAGATGAGTAGCAAATATATCCTGAATTTAAACACTATATTGGAATGTTGCTTAAGTTATTTAGCGAAGAATATTATATCACTAACCCTCAATGGAAATGCATTCAAATATTAGGCATGAGATAGCTTTGCTTTATAAGTCCTCACATTTCCTAACGTAATAAATAAATTTATTAAATATAACAATAAACTTATATTAAAACCATTTTCATCAAACAAAAATAAAATTATAAGATTGCCACCAAGATGTGAAGTGATTATCTATGATTTGATAGTGTCAAAAGAACCCAGATGTATTCAATGCAGACCATAAAAAGGAAAAAAGTAAATGAAGAAAAATAAAAAAATGAAATATTGAAAAAAAAATAAAAAAAAAATAATAATAATTTAAAAAATAAAATAAAAAGAATCTTCCTTTAAGTACCTTCCAACAATTTATTAAATCAAAGAGAAAGAATCTTAGAATTGATATAGAAATTACACAGACCACACCAGCAAGAAACAGGATGCAAAACTAGAAATATTTATGAAATGCATTATACTGAAAGCATTTTATATAGTAATAATGGCAAAAACTAAAATCAATTATAAATAATTTAGAAAAACATGTTTATTGAAATAAAAATGAGAGTAATAAAAAATTGAAACTCATAAATAAAATTATAGTGGGAATAAGAATTGTTTAATGTTCTCCAGAAAATATATAAATAAGAATGAGAGTACTAAAAATTTGAAAGTAATAATAAAATTTATAATAGGAATGCATATTAATTAATGTTTATCAAAAAATATTGGGATTTTTCTGCCTCAGACGAGCACTATGAGATCTGACACTTTTTTTATATTTGGCTAAAGCCATTTTTTTTACTGGATCCTGCTCATTTTCATTTATATATTTTCCTGTAAGATATCTATTTACAGTTCTATTCCAGGTGTTTATAAAAAATACTATAAAAGAATCTAGAAAAATTTGTTTTAAGTTATGCTTTTGGCAAAGAAAATTGAAATTATCTAGTACATGTTTTTCTAATATTATTTGAAATTTCATCTTCAATTTACCATCAATACATAAATCTTTAATGAAATGATCCAGTACCTGACTGCATTTAATAAATAGATCAAAAAATACAGTTCCTGGAACCAAAAGTGAATGGCCTGTGTAATCCCTAGATGCAATCCAAGAAGCTTCATCCCTGCCAATCGGATCTCCTAAAAGTTCAGATGTACAAATGTGGCATTCACCAACATATCCGAGAAGTTTCTTAGTACAATATCCTGCAACGTAAGCATTAGCAGTCTTACTGTACAATGACATGTCCTGGAAAATGAACGGCTCTGAGCCAATAGACATATTGATCAGAGTGTCAGTTTCCAAGACATCTTCATTATTTAAAAACACTCGAAATGTGGCAAGTAACCCAGTTGTATCATCAATTTCACAATTAGAAGACGGTGAATGGCGAGATGATAAATTGTTGACAAGCAAAGTCCTAAAGGCAGACACAAAAGAGTGGCAACTTGGATTAGTATTTGAACCCCCATGACTTCTTATGCAACCAAAAAAATTCTCCAAGGGATCTTGATTAAAATTTCTGGTGCATAAATAAGAAAATCCCTGGACACATTTTAATTTATTCCAAATATAGTTCAAGCCTTCTATTGTACTAATCCAGTTTTTGATGCAAGGAGGTTTTGCAAAACCCCTACTTTTTATGAACTGCATTGAATTCAAAACTAATTTAGCTTCACGCCAAAATATAGTATGAGGGGACTTACTTGAAATTGCACATCGAAATTGTTTTGCATTCAATGGCAATTTAGATAACCCATTGACACTATCAAATAAGTAGTCCATGAACATCAAAAATTCTCCAGTACCATATAAAGTTACACTTCCACCTGCTGCTTGGTAAAGAGAATTTTGAAGTCCTAGTGCTACCCGTTGAGAAAATACTTGCGCAGCAAGACTGACCTTCATACGTTTCATTTTTGTTTGATCAAGATGATGTTCAGTTAATTTGGGGCAACGACGAAAGAATCTTGAACTTGAATCATAGTTATAATAATCTATGATGTCTTTCCAAGATGCTTCATATTCGAGCCCACTTAAACCTATAAATTTAACGTTGTACTTAGCAAAATTATTCCTCATGCACTTTAACAAATGTGGAGGATCATATAAAGGAACTATCTCATGGCCATCTATTTCGAAAAACAATTTATTCCATTGAAGGTTATTAGCTTTATAATACTCTTCTGTATCTTTTAAAAGCATATTAACCACTTTGCAATTTGCTGCATATTGGTCGCAAACTGTGGCAATAACATTTAGTCCGATACTAAATAACTTTCTTGCCACATCAACAATAAGAGATTTTAAATCAGAACTATTTACCCCACCTTCAGAAAAGTAAAAAGCAACTGGTTGCTTCCAACGATCTTTTACTCCTTTTATCATGAAAACAAGTGCATGATCCACAAATAAACATTTTCTGCCATTTGCTAGCTCTACAAAGCCAACAATGTGATCCTTTTTCCGATCATATGACAACTCTGTAGATAGTGATATTTCATCAAACATCAAAACACAGTATTTGCTACTTTCATACTTTTTAAGAGAAATAGCTGAACCTAATGTATTAAAAAGACACTCATTAATACCGCTATACAAAGGTATCTCTGAAAGTAACTTTTTCAATGTTTGAGGAGATGGCAAAATAAATATTTGTCTCCAAAAGTAGTAAGCCTTTGGAGACTTTTTATACAGACTTAAAGCAAGAATTTTGTCATCATCTGTGAATTTTCTTCCTTTCGGCTTTTTAGTATGCTCCCTTAATTGAGACAATATAAAATTTCTAGCTCTTATATTTAATGTTTCCGGAATATTTAAAAACTTTTCAGAACATTTTATACTCTGTTGCAGTTTATCCCTTAAATTATTGCAATGTTTGTTAATCCTTCTTACCTCCTTGAACAAAATCCTTGATATGTCATACATTTTACGTGCCTTCGGTGTCAAACCACTCCTGCGCTTTGTTTGTATATTTTTTAAAAACTTGCAGCTACCCCCAAGTACCCCTGTTGATCAGAACAACATGTTGTAATATCATATTTGATTAACTAATTATTATTGCTGCAATTATTATTAAAAAAATACCTTTGCGTAAAACTGGTGATAGAATAAGTGACTTAGGGGTACTGCAAAAATCCTTTTCCAAGTTTTTAGGCCTCCATCTCCTAACTAAGAACATAAATATTTATCAGTAATTTTTTGCATATGGCAACAAATTATTTACAATTCTAATTACTTGGCCTTTTCACTGACGGGGTTGCTAAGTATTCTCCTTCTCTTGAATCAGATTGAATCTCCAACCCTCCATCATAATTACTTGTGGAGCCTGCATCAGAAATTTCTCCTAGTGTAACAGGAGAACTATTCCTTAATTCCTGTACAGGAGATATAGACATATCCAACCCCACTTCTATGAAGCTTGAAGAAGCTTAAACAGAAATAATTTTATTAATATATAATATTTTATTATATAAATTATTTAAAAAAAGACAGACACAAGACACAACTACCTAATTTCAAAAAAGACTAAGCAACTTGTATTCAATTACCTGGGGTAGGATTACTATTCTTTGACAATCTGTACGAGCCTGCTTTTAGATTACTTTTCCGGATTGACACACCACGTTCTGAAATAATATAAGTTTTTTAAATCTATTCATTATCATTTTTATCTTTTAAATTTTAACATTCTTACGAAATCTTTCTCTATCCATCAAGCAATTTTCAGTTCGATAGGGATCTCCAGTGAACCCTACAAATATCAAGCAAAATACGAATTGAGCTAAATATAAATAAATTATTATAACACATTCCTACATTATGAATATTGTATGTACAAACCTGGCATATTCAGGGTCGGGAGAGCATTAATTTTAAGTCGCCTATTCGAACTTTTAGAAAAGTTTTCCACTCTACAGATATCTGCAAAATGTGCATCGCAAATGTATCGCGAATTGCCACAACGCAAAGGGGTTAAATCATCCATTAGAGGATTATTAGCCCTTTGAACCCAAACTGCAAACATCTAACAATAAGATATTTTCATCATATTTTCATTATAAATTTTCATTATATAAATCTAATATATAATCATACATACCTGATCGTTACTCACGGGAAAAACATGCAATTTAATATTCAATTTAGAATTTAAACAATTTGGTACGTGACACGCCATATTCAACTTATTTATTACACTCACAAAAACAGAATTCAGAACAAAACTCTCAAACTCAGGTTAGTACTACTTCGATCAAATACAGTAGGAAATACAGCACGGGTTTTTCCCATCGACACAAGCGAGTCATAGCTCGTGCCGTGCCCGATTCGAATTTGAAGTTGAGCACAAGGGCCATCTATAATCTAAGCTTGGAAGTACGCCACGCAAAAACAGTGCAAAGCCCATTGGTTCGGAGATAACCCCCATGAACAATATAAATATAAATTACTAGGAAAAAAATAAAGAATGAATAATATTAATATAATAATTAATGAAATATTTTATTATATATAAATATATATAAATCATTAAGTTTACCGACAACAATTTATTGGTAATTAAATAGTTTATATATAATTAAATAACCGGAATAATTAATAATAATATAAATATTTTATTATATATAATATATATATAAATATATATAAAATATATTAATATATAATTAAAAAAGATTATTTTACGGAATAATTAAATTTTATATATAAATATATTACTTAATTGAACAATATAAATATAAATTACTAGGAAAAAAATAAAGAATGAATAATATTAATATAATAATTAATGAAATATTTTATTATATATAAATATATATAAATCATTAAGTTTACTTAGGTTGAAGCTACCATATTATGATTTCGATAAACAGATTTTCTTAAGTAAAAAATGAGGAGCTTGATATCAGAAACTAGATATAAAATTTCAAGTTCTAATTTATTCCTGGTTATTCAAAATTTACGTTAAGCCAGTATTTACAGTATTTTTCGATTATATGTGCCGCCATCTAGTTTTGCCACAGTCATAGTAGATAATAGTATACTAGATAAATAAGCATATAGAGTGTATACAGCTTTATTAATAATAGTTTTTAACCCTAGACAATATATTAATATAGACGTTTCTCTCTCGCGGTATTTGCGTTCAGAGAGCTAGGGAAAGTCACGACCGCAATATTGGGTGATGGCGCTTTAATCGCATGTCGCTCGGCAGCCTCGTGCTCCAAAATGCATTCAAATTAAAGCGCCAAAATTAGAAATAAAAGAAAATTGTCAATTTTAAAAATAATTTATTTGTATTTAAATTTTGCATTACAATAGTCTTATATTGACATTGTTATACAATAACAAAACATACCAAACAATAATACATATATTAAAATAGATATCAAAGTAAATAGCAATATGTTGCAACAAACATATTTATTTTAAAAAAAGGAAAAATAAAAAGTTTAACGAATTACAGGATTCCTGCCTTCAAGTGGATAATCATTCATTATTCACTAGCAATAATGTTGTGAACACAAAACATGGTGTTTAAATTATAGTGTCTGTGCATTACTTTATTAACTAATAATCATTCCAAGTAAGATTTGTCACTTTTCAGCACATTCTTTGCGATAAATCCAGTCATGCTAAATGGCTCTTGATATTATCTTGAATATTCAAAAAACTGCTGCATTAAATTAACTTATTTTATCATCTTGCACGGCAATTGGATTTCGTTCATTAACTCAGTGGCGTTCCTAAAAAATGTAAAGTCTAGTCTATTTATGCTTTTCCATATATATTTAAGAGCCTCCAAAGTTTAATACAATTCTGAAAAGTTAGAGAAGCCTTGCCTTTCTTATAAAAGAGCCCTAGCTTGCTCCCAAAATGTATTGTGATTAAATTATACACTGCTTTAACAACTGCTTTATATCCTCTTCATTTAAAAGTTATAGATTTTGTTTGAATCACAAATGAAACCGTATAAACAATTATAAAACACTTGTAAACACAACAATCACAATAAGAATCAAAACAAAATTTTGACATTTCTGGTACATATTGCTCGTGAATTACTAACCTGTCAAACTTGTCATCGGCTCACTAGCGCCAAATTTGCGCCTAGCGGTCGTGACTGGAACTACGCGTTGTGAACGCGGATTTTGTACTGAGATAATAGGGCCTGGTTTTTAACCGTAAATTGCAGGCAATTTCATATTTTCTTTAATATTATCAAAAGCTCATTTCAAATTATAGGCTGATCGCTGTATTTTACTTAACCTCGAACTCAGAAATACAGTTTCGCGCCGGTTTAGTTGAAGTTTGGCGCTCTTGCGCACAGTAAAGTAGATCATCACTTTTACTCTCTCTATCTGTCTCAAGTATGACTTCATTTTAAATAAAAATGGCGACCATGTTACATCGTGGTGTGAATTTTGCGGAAAGTTTAGTACGAAAAAATGGAATTAAGGTAACTTAGTCAATTATTTTATGAAACGAAAATAATACTATATAGTATTATTTATGTGTTATGAATAATTTTGAAGTGATTTATTGTGTGAACTGAATAGTGTTGAGACGAGAAATTTGAGGGTCAGCTGTTTAGTGAACTATTTTAACTTAATGCTATGTTCTAAAAATGTACAGTTTACTACGTGAGTTATATAATATAATTCGAAACGAATTACTAGATTTGAAATTATCGTCTGATATAAGGGATGTGTATGATGTCTATTAATAAATACATTACATAAATATCTTCTTTATCGAGTTCAAAATTTTACCGCATGAACTGTCAGTTTGACATTTGTGACAGCCTGTATTATAATTCAATTAGAACGTGTTAATAACGATAGGTTATAATAATTGTAAATGTCATCATTCTATTTAGCTACATTGATACAATTCTTAAGGCAAATATAAAAACTTGATTATGTGGTAGCTTTTCAAGTTGATAAATATAATGCAAATTATAATATTAATTTATTATGGAAATTTTAACTGAATATCAGATTACGTATCAAGTTCCAGAAACGTTAATTTCATTATGGAGATTATCAGACCAAAATAGTTTATGACAATAGTATATATAACAATACACTTGTTATTTTATTAATGATTTCTTAAACAAATGTAAAAAAAAATAAACTTTTAAACATTTGTTGGCTGTTATAGATTTACTATTTTTTCCCTAAACAACTTAAAAACATTGTCAAAGTAATGTACAAAACCGCACAGTCATTATGTAAATCCATCAAAGTTCTTAAAAACTAAATTAAATGTTATTCTCAAACATCAATGCACGAAAAGTTATTAACAAGCTTCTAGTGATAGATTTTTTATGATTCTTTTTTAATATACCTAAGATATATTTTAATGTGTTTAATTGAACATATAAATCTTTGCTTTGTCTTTTTTTCTTGTTTCTAATTGCAATATAATTGTGTTTTTATTCTGTGTACATTACAAACATTATTACAATTTTTATAAAATAATTATTATTTATAATATTCAATATTCAATATTAATTCTTGGCGTGGACCTTTTTTGTTAAATATATTGTATACAATTTCAAATAAACAAATAAGTCTGGAAATTATCTTATCTCAATTGATTATTATTAGGAGACGCACACATTAAGTTGTACTTTGATCTTGCTTATTGTTATGTATGTAACTATATATGTATATGTATATATATAATATATGTATGTATATATATATTTATATATATATATATATATATATATATATAAATAGTCAATTATTATATATATACTAGGTGGCCCGACAGACATTGTCCTGTATCGTTATTAGTTTCAAATTTTTTAATATCCTACCCTATACTTTTTAATATCTCTTTGATGTCTTGCTTTTGTGATTTATTAATGGTCTTAGCCTAAGCAGTATAAGAAATTCAGAAAAAAATATTATAGTATCTGCGCTAAAAGAACAATATCACACTTGATTTTACCACCATAATTGTTTCAATATTTTAGTCTATGATTGTCATAATCATATAAATATATTAATTGCTGGTTGTGTTTTTTAAATACAGAGTCCAAATTCAAAAGACAAATTCAACCTTGAAGGGATAGGTTACTCTGTGTTCTCAAAGCTAAATTATTTAAAAAGCTTTTACTGACAGTATAACGTGCCTTTATAAACCGTACATTTTCGTACTATAAATGCATGTCTTATTATGTTTGCTTCAGAAATATTTCCGTACCCACTGATGATGACATAGAGTACTTTGCCAAAATGCATGAAAAAATTAAGATGCTTTAAAATCTGTACTATTTCTTTTTTATTTGTTGTTATGCTCTCCAATTTTGTGTTCTACAATATATATATATATATATATATATATATATATATATATAATCCATTTATGAGCATATTTTAAATATAAAGTGTTTCGTCTAAAATGACTCAGGCACAAAAATAAGATATTTCATAAATTATTTTTTCTAGTCGCGTGACCTTTGAGTGTTCAATAACAGATAAATTCTATTTCCTGACCCAAAAATATATTTGTTTAATAACAACTGTTCGTGCCTTCTTATCATATTTTTTTTTTATAAAAGAAGGCAATTTTGATTACGTTATTATTTTTGTGATTTTTAAATTGAGATATACGGCTTTTTGTTAAATTTTGTAGAACATGAGAAGAATGCGTGTTTTCATTCATTTTCAGTCATTAAACGCTAATTCGAACTATTTCCGTCTATAAGTTTAGACGTATACAATAACTTTCAAAATCAGAAATTAATATTACTGTGGGATTTATGTTAATTAGCTACGCAAATACGGGTTAGAAATTCCATTATACATTATAACATATGCATACATATACATATCGATTTAGGTAAATAATTATATTGTTTCATTTCAAGTACCTATGCGTTCAGTGAGCATCAACTTCGAAAAATTAAATACACGTTGACATATTTAAAATTAATGATGGACAAGCAAATATTTAAATAATGAAATATATTTATTTGCAATTTATTAGATTCAATATGAACTTCTTCTTCCCAACTTGTACATATTTTGTTATTTACTCAAAAACAACTGTAGTTATTACATCACTCTTTTATTCGAATAATAATCCTTAAACTTAACCCTTTGAGTGCTAAAGTTTAAACAGTTCCAATATTTAATTATATGAAAATTGACAAAAAATCTATATCCATAACGAATATGCATAGGTGCATGTAAATATATTTGATCATATATGATAAGATTTTGAAATGTAAAGATTTCGAAAAAATATTGTTTCTTTTTATTTGTGAATTTAATATCTCTATAAACGGTTTGGGAATAAAAATTCTAGTAATTTATTATATATTACACGAAGTATAATTGTTATTAAAATAATTAGTGCAAAGATATTAGTTCAAACATAATTACCCGAGCATACAGATCATTTTCCTTTGTTTATTCCCTACAAATTTAATTTACCTTAGGAGATTGCAATGTAATATAATTATAAAAAAATGTATGATAAATATATGCATGAATATATTAAAATAAATTTAGTTTAAAACGAACAAAATAATAGCATTTTTTTTTTTGAAAAAGTATTGAATCTGCCAATATTAATTTTAATGTAACATTAAATTGAAAGAGTAATCTATTAATATCATTAATAATAATATTTATAATTTTTCTTTTATTATAAATTATCGCCGCCAGTCTCTAGATATCTTAAAATACCTTATTTTTGAATCAGTTAACTGTGGCGTACTCATTGTACTTTGCGCACAGTTTTGTCATCAGCCTGATAATACATTTATTCCTTATAATACTTGTATTATACAGTAAAATTATATTTTGAGGTAGAATGCCACTTAAAAATATGTATTTTTGTTCTGGCATATTTTATATTCTAAACATCTTTAATATTTGAGTTTTTTTTCAATCGTTTAAATTTTAATAGCAAATTGTCACTGTGTTATACGCATGACGAATAAACTTGTCATGCTGCCATTTCTTTATTGCCAGTATATTCATCAATCACAATTAACCCGTTGAGGCCGCTGACGGTCCCTAAGGACCATCAACTTTCCGTTTGTTTGGCATCGTTCTCTGGAGACCGACAGTTAACTTACCATATGACTGCCGTCGGACCTGAGAACCGGCACCAGAATTTCTTTTTGGAAAATCTGTGTGATCGACAGTATTAAGAAATAAAATTATTCCTAATTAATTTCGGTTCCATATAATTTTAATAAAATATTGAATGAAAGATTTTGAGCGAGTTTCCATACAGAATTGGCCCCACCCTGGTATTTAAATAATTTTGATGCCGTTCTAAAACCTTAAAATTTTATATTTATTTTAAAATGCAATGCAATTTAGGAATAATTATATGAAATATTAATCACGTAATATATTTGTGCATTTTAAAATAAATAATAAATTTTAAGATATAAAATTGAAATTGAAATAATTTATTACACACATACAAATATATAGAACAATATATAAATAAATAAATATTTTTATTATATGCTTACAAAAATATAAAAATATTTAAAATATAAATGTACATATATGGTACTTTACTAAGCGTTTTACATAGAATTGTTCAATATATAGATTTTGTTACAAAACGCGCGCTGCGAACACTCGAGCAGTGATCTAACTGCTCTGCTCGCCTTTGCAATTGAGAGAAAACTTACGCGGCTATTCTATGAGCGCTAGCGTGTACTTGCTCAAGTTTTTTCAAGTTTTGAATGTGTTCTACCACATGGACTAAAACTAAATTTTGCACAGCATAAGAAAGAAGAATAGCCATTCTAACGATACTAATTAAAAATTAGTCCAAACAACCCCTCACTACCCAAAAATTTGTAACAAAAAATTGTTTTGACTTTTTCATAAACTAACAAATGATTATTTAACAATATTTGTTATTAACAATATAGTTCACACCTATGTGAATATAATCCCGTTATTTGTTTGTCGATATCTTTTACAGTTGCGACAAAAAACGACTTTGAAAAAAGGGGCCACTTTCGGATATTTTCAATGATATCTCGGCCAAATGATGAGCTACGGATTTGAGATTTGGTATTTCGGATTTTTTCGAAAAAAGCTATAAAATGGCATCAAAAGCATTTAAATACCAGGGTGGGGCCAATTCTAAATAAAAATGTGGTACGTGCTAAACATTGCCGACCGTTCATCATTGCCGGCTGAACGAAAAAATGAGCAAATTCGGCGCCGGGGCTCAACGTGTTTACTGGTTAAAATTTATAGGGTATTTATAGCAGAAAAACTTTGTTCACTTTCGAATACAATGTTTGGAACTGTTAAAATTTATATACCTTTTTACTTTTATACAAAAAAATTTCAGATTTTATCCGTAGCACCATGGCAAAACACCCAAACACGAAAGCTCAATGTCTTGGAGCATATATCCTTCAGCATTTTGCAGGAAGGTGGCATACCGACACCTCCGTAAGTAAATTCATAGGCATAAATATCAATAATAGTTACACATTTGATTTAAAAGTTGTTTTATCACAGATTTGGTGTGGCAAAATCATCAGCTGAAGCAGCTAAAATAGCTACGGATTTGAAAACAAATGACATTGTACTCAAAGCACAAGTTTTGGCTGGTGGTAGAGGGAAAGGCCAATTCAAATCGGGCTTGAAAGGCGGCGTTCGAATGGTTACAACGTAAGTTTGAGTCTCTCGCTTTGTATTAATATAATATTTAATAATGCTTGTTTTTTACTTTTTTATACGCTTTTTACAATGTAAATCGAGGCTATCAATAGTTTGAACATTTAAAATTATATACTTAGTTGATGAATTAAAGCTGCCTACAGACTTGTTGAAGACTAAGAACTGAATGAAGTTAATTTCATTTATTTATAACAATCAGAGTCAAATTGTATTCTATGTTTCAATGATAAAGCGGATATGACTTATTCTAGGACATAACTTTGGGAGATGAGTTAAATCTTCGGAGTATTTCAAGAAGAAGTAGTAAAAGTCTCATTGTCATGTCAAAGTCTCATTTCTCTGATGATGATTTCACTTACACTCACATATCTTTCTATACGGAGAGATTCTATACACAATTACAAACGCAGAATCAAATTAAATTTTTTAATTATTTTTAAAGAGAAAATATCAAGTTCTTACATTGTTTTTTTATGAAAATAATGTTGTCAACTTTATGCATTTAATAAGAACAAAATATTTATAAAATATTTTAATTATACATCACATTCCCTTTCTACCATTTCTATTTTGAGGATTAAGTATATTTTGAGAATTAAGTATATTGGGTAGTTTGATCAGCATACTATTACTTTTATAATTATAATTGCATTTATTATTTATATAATTATAATTGTGTAAAAGTAATAATATAATACTAAATATTTTTGCTGTTTGTATACCATTTAAAAATAACTGAATTGAAAAAATAACTGATAAGTTTTGCAAACTGTTGTATAGTTATTTTGTTCCATAGAAAAAACAAATTAACTGCATTTGTGTTATTTCTGGTATGTATATGATATTCCTGCTTGTGGTCTTTCACGGACAAGGATTATTGTAGCTTTGAATGTGACCCATAATTGTAAATGTCTTTACATCGTGTTAACAGATCTAGGATCAATGTATGGAACTTGGATATAACCAATTCTCAGTTATAACTTCTCTCTGAGTTACCCAAGTCTAATATAGTTATATGTATGCACCAATATGTATATATATATATATATATATATGTGTGTGTGTGTGTGTGTGTGTGTGTGTGTGTGTGTGTGTGTGTGTGTGTGCTAATTCGAAGAAATATGCGACCTAATATCCTGGCGTATAAATATAAAATTCCTATCCTTACCGAACAGTGTTCACGCGAACACATTTTTTGAGAAAAAAAATCACCTTACTTTTTCAGGCCAGAGCAAGCAGAAAAAATATCTTCAAAAATGATCAACCAAATATTAGTAACTAAGCAAACAGGTGAAAAGGGTCGGATATGTAATTCTGTCATGGTCACAGAAAGAAAGTTTCCCCGACGAGAATACTATTTGGCCGTTATGATGGAGCGAGCTTTTTCTGTAAGTTTCTATATTATTATGTAGATAGTATTTAATAATTACCCATTAATTTGTTTTCTCCTAATTGATGTATGATCGTAATATAGATTCTTATCGCAGTCCAAAGTTTGATTCTGAAATAAATGGAAATGATAGTAAAGATTAAATTTAATATTATATTTTATTATAATAATTTTAACATAATTTTTTGGATTTTTTTTAAATTTGAAATGAAAAAATAATCCTAAAAGCAATTGGTTCGTCAACACAAGCAGAAAGTTTTTTGAATCATTGAAATCGGATGCTCCGTTCTGTCAAAAACTCGATTTCTATTTTCTCCGAAACTACTGTACCTGCCTTTGCCAAAAACTAATCAGCACATCTCCCTATCAATAGGAATCGAACTTTTTTTGAACCATTCAAATCGATTGATCCGTGCGCCCGAAAACGTAGACGAAATATTGCGGACATAAAACACACACGTATGCCAAAATGTTCATAAATCTTCAAAACGTGAAGATATGCAAAAAAAAATTATTTAGATTTTTGGAAGATTGCAATAACTTACCCTACGGGAAGTTAATTACTAATGTTAGGTGTGCTAATTATATTCTAAAAATTGCAGGGCCCTGTAATTATTGCTTCATCACAAGGAGGAGTTAATATCGAAGAAGTAGCCGCTGAAGATCCAGAAGCAATAATTTATGAACCAATTGACATAATGAAGGGAATTACACATGAACAGAGCAAAAAAATTGCTTGTGCAGTTAGTATTTGTAATTCTATAAATCTAAAATAACGAAAACTAAAATTTGTAAAGAAAAATGAAAAAAAGTAATCAAGAATTCGTATTTTCGCTGTTTCACATTTGAAATAGTATAATAATTTTTACAATTTATTTATTATTACAAAATATTATGTATTGCACTAGTGATGTGATAAAACACTTCCAATTTTTGTAGATTGGACTTGAAGATCATGCAGAATATACCGCAGAAATTTTAGAGAAAATGTATGATTTGTTTTTAAAGAAAGATGCACTACTCATTGAAATCAATCCTTTTGCTGAAGATTCAAAAGAAATATCAAGGAAATCTGAGGATATATGTAAGTGCACATATTTTGTTTAAAAGATATATTTGTTTTGCTTGATCATTGAATGAATGAATGTATTAATGTTTTATGAAATGTGTTCAAAAAATAAGATGTCATATTTTCAAACTTTATCAATCAATATTTATATCATTCTTTTCTAAGTAATCTTCTTCACATGACACCTCTATTCTGGTTTTTAAAGTATATTTCTCGTAAGTACTTTGAACTTCTTTACTGATTCAATTTTATGTCTAATTGTCACTTGATCGGTATTTGACCTATCAACCAAATCTGCTAAATATTACGGCTGATGCATGATTAAATTCTGGTTTTAACCAAAACGAATAAATGAATGAATGAATGAATTATTTCTATACATTTCTCCTATTAAACTTTGCAAACAAATCATCTATAAGATATTGCTTCTTATTAACCGCACCTTCTCGAAGTAAATACTCCCGTTGAAGTACTTTATAGAACTTAAAAGAAAACAGTTTCCATTTTTTTGGGGCATTACCATCTGTTAGGAGTTCGTGCTCAACCATAACGACTGTTACATTTATCAAGTTACACGGTCAAGCAATGCTTATGATAGGTTCTTATGTTAAAAATTCAGATGCTTGTTTAAATGTTTATATGTTTAAATTCTCTTCAATATTTAGATTGTTATGTTAACTTGAATTACACTTTCTTCTAACAAGCAAATTTGTGAGCCTCCTATTTTATAAGGCATGACTTTTATTATGTTTTCCATTCACAATTGGGAAATCATGTTTCTTTCGTTTATTTTTTCATTTTGTTCAATGGTTTTCTCATTACATATTGTTTAATAAAAAAGCAAACCAATAAAATAAAGTATTAAACTAAGGAGACAAAATGAAGAGAGGTTTAAAAAAAATTACCAAGATTCATACATGTGTGAAACTAATTGTGATTTGATGTTTTTTTAAGAAATCTGTATATATATATATATATATATATATATATATATATATATTAGGGTGGTCCTTAAAATGGTCATTTTCGAATTTCTTTGCTCCCATGGGCACAAATGGTTTCAAATAGATAAAAAACAATTCTCTGAAAGTTTTAGCTCTTAATATTAACGTTTAGATAGAGCGCAATTCAATCAAAGTTTGTATGGAAAGAGCATGGAAAAATTTTTGAAAATTAAAAAAAAATGTTTTAGGTATAACTTAGCGATAAATGAATGAGATTTATTCATTCATTTGTTCCCTAAATTACATCTAGAATACATTTTTAAAATTTTTGAAAATTTTTCCATGCTATTTCCATACAAAACTTTGATTGAATTGCGCTCTATCTAAACGTTAATATTAAGAGCTAAAACTTTCAGAGAATTGTTTTTTATCTATTTGGAACCATTTGAGCCCCTGGGAGCAAAGAAATTCGAAAATGACCATTTTAAGGACCACCCTAATATATATATATATATATATATATATAATGTATATGTATTATATACTACTATATTATTTGTATAGTTTTCAGCTTAGACTGCAAAATGCGCTTTGATGACAATGCTCATTTTCGACAAAAAGAACTTTTTGCCCTAAGAGACTGGACTCAAGAAGATCCTAAGGAAGTAGAAGCTTCAAAATTTGATTTGAATTATATAGCATTGGATGGTTGGTAATTTTTTTGTGTTCATTATTTGTAACTTTGTTTATGATAGACCAGAATAGTAATAAAAGCAATGAACCTACTATTGATTATCTTGCTATTGTTTGAGGGAGACAATACGAACATTAAACCTATTCTATGTAAAACTAGTCACTTGGCTAAATAAAAGCGGTTTGTTCATAACTTTCATTTACATTTTATCCTAAAGTATTTTCTTCTCAAATTTATAATTTCTCTTTCAATATGAAATAGTCTATGTGAAAACTTGAATAACAGTTTGCAGATACCTTGCCTGGGACATGGATACAAATAACCTTATCATCTTAGTCCATTTTTTTGCAAGTTTATGATTTTGTATTCTTGTAATGTTTTCTATGTGTTAATAATGTTATACTACATTTATGAGGAACATCTTTTATAATTGTTTACTTGGTACTGCAGGAAATATTGGATGTATGGTTAATGGCGCTGGTCTTGCTATGGCTACTATGGACATAATTAAATTACATGGAGGAGACCCAGCAAACTTTTTAGATGTGGGCGGTGCGGCTACTGCTTCTACAGTCAAAGAAGCTTTCAAGATTATCACAACAGATCCTAAGGTAAAATCATTATTATTAACTTCCCGTAGGGCAAGTTATAGTAATCGCAAAAAAATCGAAAATGAAAATTTTTATATATCTTTACGTTTCAGAGGTTTCTGAACATTTTGGCATACCTTAGAAAAAATGTATGTATGTGTGTGTGTGTGTGTGTGTGTATGTGTGTGTGTGTGTGTGTATGTATGTATGTATGTATGTGTGTGTATGTATGTGCGGATACAAATTTTCGTCGACGATTTCGGGAACACGGGTCAACCGATTTGAATAATTCAAAAAACATTCGATTCGTATTGATAAAGAGACGTGCTGATTAGTTTTTGGCAAAGGCAGGTCTAGTCGTTCCAAAGATACGGGGCAAAAAGTGCCGAAAACGGTAACTCAGTTTTTGAGAGAACGGAGCGTCCGATTTGAATAATTCAAAAAACATTTCACTTGTATTGACAAGATGAAGAATCGATAAAATTTTCATGAAGGTAGGTCTAGCGGATTCGGAGATATGGAGGAAAAAGTAAAAAAATGAGCCATTTGGCGGTCAAAAATGATCATTAGACATATGCTCATAAAATTATCAGATATTTTATAGAGATTTTAACAATAAATATACAATTTGTTAACATTCCTATGGGTTCCGTACCAATGCTTATGCTTTAGACAGCGACGCGGCGCTTACGCGCTTTATATTTTGTCCCTATGCAGTTAAAGCAGTACGATTGATTGCTTTGAAAAGAAAGTTCAGATCTTCCACAATATGTCAAAATAAAAAAAAAAATTTTTTCTAAAAAAAAAAATTTAAAAAAAAAAATTTTTTTTTAAAAAATTTTTTTCAAAAAAAAGTAATTTTTTGTCCAATTTATAGTTTCTCAAAAATCTTATTTTTTCAAAGTAATTTTTTTTTTTCAAAAATGTTAATCGTTTTTAAAAAAATAATAATTTTTGGTACGGGAAGTTCCAGCAATTTGCCTTAAGGCACAATGCCTTAATTGCCTTAAGACAGAATTCCACTTACAGCTAGTTTGAACTTTATTTCACAACTTTTATATTTACATGTTTTATGCATATGCATATATATATACAGTGGCGGCGCTAGACCATGCGTGGACGTCGGCGTAATTCGTTTGCGAGGCCCCCCTTTTCCCAGTTAAATTTGACTAGTGGCAAATTACTGAAACTTTCCGGGCCGTAATTTAATTTTTTTAAAAGCTTCAAAAAATTTGGCAAGTCAAATTTATTTTTTGTAAACTTTGAAAGAATTTTTTTAATTTGTAATCACGCTGTGTTAGCTGCTTAGAGACGAAATATCAAAACACGTAAGCGCCGCGTTATTGTCTAGCGGTTATACATTGGTACGGAACATACAGAAATGTAAACAAAATTCGTACCTATTATTAAAATGTTTACATAATATCTGATAATTTGATGTCCATGTGTCTAATGGTCATTTTTGCCCGACAAATGGCTTTTCTTTCACTTTTATTATTGGATCTCAAAAACCGCTAGATCTGAATTTAATCAGTTTTTCATTTTGTTGATACAAATAAAATGTTTTTTTGAATCATTCGAATCGGACGCTCCGTTTTCTCAAAGACTAAATTACTATTTTGGCACCTTTTGTCCGTATCTTCTAAACAGCTCGTCCTGCCTTTGCCAAAAACTAATCAGCACGTCCAGGGCCGGATTTAGAAATTTGGCGCCCCGGGGCACTGACGAAAATGCCGCCCCATCTCTGCAATTTTACGATCGCGCTGCTTTAGCTGCGTAGGGAAAAAATATAGAAGCGCGTAAGCGCCGCGTCGCAGTCTAACGGATAAACAATGTTGCAAAACGCATATGAATATTATAATATCTTTAAAATATCTGATAATTTAATGTGCTTATGATCACTTTTGTCCGCCAAATGTTTCTATCTAAAATTTTTTTATTGGATCATCAAAACCGCTAAACCTTCCGCCCACAAATTTAAGCAGTTATTCATTTTCTAAATTTCTTTCAATGATATTGGACGCTTTTTTTTCTCAAAAACTGAATTATCATTTTGGCATTATGGCCCGTATCTTCAAAGCAGTTGAACCTGCCTTGGCCAATAACTAATCAGCGCATCTCCTTATCAATAGGAATTGAATCATTTAAATCGGTTGATCCGTGTTCTCGAAATCGACTTGAATAATTAAAAAATATTAGATTTGTATTGATGGAGAGACGTGCTGATTAGCTTTTGGCACAGGCAATTACGAAAAATGGTAATTAAGTTTAAATATTTCTTCTCTGTAACAGCTACGCAGCATAATTTTCGAAAAATTTCAAAATACAAAAAAACGTGTTTTGAAAGTCTTTTTTTTATTCATTTTTCGAAAAGTTTTAAAGCTCTTTATAAAATGTAATTTTTAGTACGGGAGTTTTTTGTCTTAAGGCACAATGCCATGACTAGTTTAAAATAACTAGTAGTTTAAAACTAGTTTGAATTTTTCTTCGTCGCTATAAGCTTGGAAGTGCACAAATTCATTATTTTAAGAGGGCTCGAGAACTGAAGAACATATTTTTCTTAAACTTTTATCTTGTTTACGCATCTTTATATTAGCCAATTTGCCAAATTTGATAACTTATTAACCAATTCGATTATTTAGGTTCGGAGAGGGAGGCAAGGCAAAATAATACATTTTAGTTATCGGTTATTTCAACCCAAATTTTGTATTGCAATCGTATTATGTTTTGTTAATTATATTTCTTGAAATGAAAAATGTTGTTAAAAAAAGTTGATTATATTGTATAGAATGACCTTGTAGTTTACAATGTCCTTTTTCGGACGACTATTGTAAATTCATCAAATTTATTGAATGTCCTTTACTGGACAGTTGTAAATAAAAGAGATAAAAAAATATTGTATTGATTTTTTTTCTCACTATCCAAATTTTGCCGCCCCCCAAAATTTGCCGCCCTGGGCAGTAGCCCCGATTGCCCCTACTGTAAATCCAGCACTGAGCACGTCTTCCCAGCACGTTAAAGAGTTGAGAAATAATTATTGTTAAACAAAAGTTTGAGTAAATGAGATTTATTTTTAATCAGATAATTACACAAATAATTTGCTGAACTGATTTAAATGATTCAAAAAACATTCGATTTGTGTTGATAAATTCGCGAAGGCAGGTCCAGCTGTTTCGGAGATGCAAAAAAAGTTTAAAAGGTTATGAATTTGGTGACGCCGTTTTTGAAAGATCTGATCATCCGATTAGAATGATTCAAAAAATATATTGTTTATGTTGACGGTGTGAAACAATGATTAATTTCAAATTAACAGTATTTATAATTTTCATTTTAAAATATTTAGAATAATTGTTATTTTTCATTGATCAATTGTTATTGATCATTGATTAATTTTATTCCTCGAATGTTTAATTACTGTTTGTAAACGTTAAAGTATCTACTTGTATGTACGTGGTCTGTTCAAAAAGTACCCGGAATTACTAATAATTAAATTTCGCGGGTCTGGACTGTCTGATTGTCAAAATTTTTTTTTTATTGTGTTGGTATACATGCCCCTAAAGTATGATGAAATTTTCAGCTATATTCACTGTTTACTTTGTCTGTGGTAGTCGCTAAGGTTCCGACGTGTTTTTCTGAGCTCGGCGATTTTTACAATGGAAGAATTGAAAAGTCAAAGAATTTGTATTAAATTTTGCGTAAAAAATGAAATAAAGTGTTGCAAAGTGCAAAAATTCACCAGATATGGCTCTGTGTGACTTTTTCCTATTCCCAAAGTTGAAGAGACCCATGAAAGGACGGCGGTTTTCCTCGATTGAAGAAAATCGCTGAGAGTGCTCAAGGACATATCAAAAAGTGAATATCAAGGGTGCTTCGAAAATTGGAAAAAACGCTGGCATAAGTGTATTATATCTGGGGGGGACTACTTTGAAGGGGACCACATTAATGTAGACGAATAAATAAATATTTTTTTGAAAAAACGAAAATTCCGGGTACTTTTTGAACAGACCTCGTATTCCGAGATGATCCACATTGTGCTCACATAAGAAATATACAAATATAAACAACCAGAGAATTAGCTCGCGCTAAGATGTTGATTTAATAATTTATCTATAGTGTTGACAGACCATATTAGATAGTGTTCATATGAGATAAGGGATTAAAACGATATTGCCTGTAAACCACAAATCACCTTCTTTACTCGCACATCAGCATGAAAAAAACTAAATAAGAATGAAGAACTAAATTTTAATAATTAAAATTTTTTTATATATATTATATATATATATATATATATATATATATATATATATATATATATATATATATATACATATATATATATATATACATATATATATATATATACGTGTGTGTGTGTGTGTGTGTGTGTGTGTGTGTGTGTGTGTGTGTTATAGCTATATATAGTATACGTGTGCATCAGATACCTTGTCTATTAAGCTTTTAATAAATACAATGGAATTTGTATACAATTATACATGAATACAATGGACAAAAAATAACTATGTATTTTTTATGAAAATTTTGTAGTTGTCAAGAATCTACATAATATTTGTTGCATTTATATTTATTTAACTCGTGGTTTATCAAAAGTATGTGTTTGAGTGTCGTCCATCAAAAATGTATGCATTTGAGTTACTGTTCATATGAATCTCTTAATAATAATACGTAAGTTCTTTATTGCTCCAGCTACAATTAAGTATTTGTCATTAAGTCTAATAAAATTACAAATGAATTATATTATATAAATGATGAATTATATATAGATTTATAAGTTTTAACTAATTTTGTACTAACAATTTAAATTACATAATTATTTCAGTTAGAAATTTAATTGTATTCTATATTGCTTCATTTTTATTTGGGTCTATCTATTCTTATGTATATTTTTGATGAAATAGGTCAGTGCTATTTTAGTGAATATATTTGGAGGAATAATGAGGTGTGATGTTATAGCCGAAGGTATAATTGCCGCAGCCAAGGATTTGAACATGACAATTCCCATTGTAGTACGACTACAGGTGTGTTTCATATTTAATTTTGAATTTTAAAATATTTATTATATTTAAAACTAAAATTTACATCTGAATATACATATTTATAACTACCTTATTGCAGGGAACAAATGTCGATGAAGCCCGTCGGCTTATTAAGGAAAGCAAATTAAAGATCTTAGCCCAAGATGATTTGGATGATGCTGCTGCATTAGTTGTCAGTTTATCTCAGATCGTAAAATTGGCTGCTGATGCTAAAATAAATGTAGATTTTTCGATGCCCACTGCCAAATAAAATTAAATTAACCGCAAAGTATATATGTAATGAGATATGCATAGTATATATTAATTTTTCTTTTTTTTCACTGCACATGCAAAGCTAAATTTAGCCAGCAGAATGTGTTATTCAACACAAGTCGTATTGTTTAGTCGTGTAATGTCAACATGTATTGCCCATTTTGATTGGATTCCTTAATACAGGATATCAGCACCACTTGTTAAGTTTGAAACTCTAGGTAGGATATGATCATATTTATTATAATGCACATTTATTATGTTACTAATGTTCAAAATGATTGATGATCGATGATTGATATCATTGTCAGTAATAGTACAAGATTAATTACATTGTATTATAAGTAGATATTTATTCAAATTTATTTATTCATTAAATTTTAGATGATATATTATGTTCAACTGAATAGTTGTGACTATATAATAATTTAATATAAAATATTTTGCGGTATTAAAGTTGAATTATTTCATATAAACATTTTATGAACATGTTTTGCATTGATTGAAGTTTAATTGAATATTACATTTTTAATACTGATAAACTTCTAGTACCTAATAATATGATACATAACTATTCATACAATGTAGTTTTGTCCAAAATTCTTAGTTCAATATAAAAATATAATTCTGGCTAAAACAAAAAAAGGATTTTTACTAATTTTTTATATATTTTTAATTTTGTTAAATTCCTAAACATGAAGATTAACACCAGTTATTACATATACACTATCAATGCCCATTTAAGTATTAAAATTGATAACAAAAATTAGATTTTACTTTCTAATAACAAAGTTTTTGCATTTTTAATTTCTGTTTATCTTCAGTTTTTGTAATAGCTTTATTGAAAAATTTTATCATGTATATATTTGTTGTACAATTTTCTTGGGCTGAAACAACTACACTTTTGGTAGTTCTCATGTTCTTATAGATTTTTAACTGAAAGGTGTATGTTTAACCCCTTAACCGGAAAACTAATCTAGCTTGGACAGTGCCGTAAGAGATCATTTAAATTGCAATGCGCAAACAAAATTCTTGCAATCGGTAACTTGCGTAGTTCCTTATTGCCCGAGATGGCACATGTATATTGTCACAAGCCACACACGTTATTCCTGGGCAAGGGGTTAATGAATGAAAAGGCCATCCTATATATGTATCATTATTTTAGGAATTAATAACTATCAAAAATTTTAAATAAATATAAATTTTTAGAGTTCAGAGGCATTACAGATATTAGCTTAAAAAACAAACTAAAATTTAAGGAAAAACATTGGATTGGAATGTGTATACTAGCTGACTCGGCAAACATTGTTTAGTTAGAAACCATATTTCTAGAAAATGTTTAGTATAGAAAATTACTCATTGTTCGTCATTGTGGAAGTAAGTGGTATATAAGTGAAAAGAACAAGAAACACAAATTATATGTAGATTTACCCACTGAAAAGCATGGTTTATATATAAATGTTTTATGGGGTACCAAATGTTTTTTTTTCCAAAAAATCATAGATAATAGTTTTTTGCCTAAAATTTTTTTCCAATTTTTTTTTTCTAAAATTTAGTTTCCCAAAAATTTTTTTCCCTAAAAATCAAAGACCATAGTTTTTCCCAATTTTTTTTTCCTAATTTTGTGCTGAACCCAATGACATGATCACGGTCATTTTTATATAAATCTCAATGGTGACGTTACCGCGTCGTCATTGGTATATGAAATAATTCAATATAAGTAGTACAAATAGAAAAGTTGAACCTGATTAATTTGAATAAATAAAATGAGGATAAATAAATAGAATATATTTACCTCAAAATTACAAACACGTTGTTAAAAAAATATAAAATAAAAAAATCAAGCGCGTAGGGCGTAAGGTACGCACGTACTTGCGGGCCGGGACTGTGACTATAATTAGAGAAATTATGTTTCAAATCAAATGCAGAATTTGAAGCCATTTGTGATATGCTAAAAACATTAATACATAGTAAAAAAAATTGTTCAAAATTTGTATATTCATATGGCGATAGATGCCGCGTCCGCGACTTGACAAGTCATTTTTCGCACGCCTCGAAATATTGCGAGCTCGACTACGAAACATCAACCCAACAGCCGTTTCGTTGCACTCGAGTTGCACAACTCGGGTGTCAAGCGTCTAGTTCAAGTGAGAATCAATCACTTTTGTAAGGCGTCTAGTTCGCACCAAGGCTCGAGATCCGCCAGAGCAGAACCTGATTCGGTCGTCTCATCTTGACTTTTCTGGATCGCGGAACCCGTTGTCTGCGGCTATGGGGGGCATTGACATCAGGGGGCTGTCGATTTTGTGTGTTGTGTGTTGCATGGTGTGTTGAATATGTGTGAGCGACTGAGAAGCAATCGCGCACGTCAACTTTTGGAAGACCATGGATGTGTTGCCATGCGACGGTTGTATTAGATGTGTATGGCAACGGTTGTATTAGATGTGATAATTTTACGATCTAATCATCTAATACAACCGTTGCCATACACATCTAATACAACCGTTGCAAAATTTAATAAAATTGTGAAATGAAGAGAAAAATGTACAGTAGAACTCCAATTATCCGAATCACTTTCAGAAAAAAAAAATGTCCTAAAAAAGTCTAAGTGCGCTATTATTCTTCCACCAGCAAAGCCAGTGTAAGCACATTGTTTGTTTTGATTTGACGGAGATGTTTACAAAACAATGATTTTTATTTCTAAACTTGTACATAAGTACATTTTATTTATATTTAAAAAATGAAACATGAAATTGGAAAATGTCATGTTTCTTTCATTTAATTCAATAAAAAAATACTGCAATATCAAAACGTAACTTTTTTTCTCTCCAATGGCAATTTTAAAAACAAACTTCGATTATCCGAATATTTGATTATCCGAATGGGTCCCGGTCCCCATTAATTCGGATAATTAGAGTTCTACTGTAGTTATAATCTTTTTTCCAACTTATAACGCACCTTGTGCAGTACTGCTTGGACAATTAATAATTGAAGCCCTTTTATTGCTTACACGCCCGGATGATTTCGCACATACTGTGGGCAAGGGGGCCCCTAAATTTTTTCCCATTTTTTTCTAAAAATGTTTTGTTCCAAAAAAATTTTTTTCACAATTTTTTTTTCCAAAAATTTTTCTTCCAAATTTTTTTTCCAAAAATTTTTTTTCCAAAAACTTTTTTTCCCAAATTTTTATGATTTTACTGAAAATTTTTTTCTCAAAAAATTTTTACTTAAAATGTTTTCCCAAAATTTAATAAAATTGTGAATTGAAGTGAAAAATGTAGTTATAATCTTTTTTCCAACTTATAACGCACGCTGTGCAGTACTGCTTGGACAATTAATGAAGCCTTTTTATTGCTTATACGCCGGGCGATTTCGCACATTCTGTTGTTCAATTTTTTTTCCTAAAACATTTTTGGGAAAACATTTTTGGAAAAAAAAAAATTTTGGGGGAAAAAATTTCCCAAAAATTTTCCAAAATATTTGTGTTCCCAAAAATTTTCCAAAATTTTTTTTTCCAAAATTTTTTTCCCAAAAATTTTTTTTCCAAAAATGTTTTTCCCAACATTTTTTTTCCAAAAATGTTTTAGGTATTTATTTATTGTTGAATAACACAAAGTTAATATTTAGATACAACAAACTAACAGGTCATATGACAAAAAAAAAGTTGTGTTGGTATGGCCTGTGTTGGCGTTATTGGTAGAGTAATGGCTTTCTACCAGCAGGGTACGGAGTTCGAATCATACCTCCAGGCAAAAAACTGAATTCAGTAGTACGACTAACGTTGTGGTATTTATTTATTGGTGAATAACACAAAGTTGATATTTAGATATAACAAACTAACAGATATGGCCAAAAAAAGTTGAATTAGTATGGCCTGTTTTGGCGTAATTGGTAGAGTAATGGCTTCGTACCAACAGGGTAGCGAGTTCGAATCATATCTTCAGCTAATAAACGGAATTCAGCAGTACGATTAACATTGTGGTATTTATTTATTGTTGAATAACACAGTTAATATTTAGATATAACAAACTAACAGGTCATATCGCCAAAAAAAAGTGCATAGCCATGGCCTGTGTTGGCGTTGTTGGTAGAGTTATGGCTTCGTATCAAAAGGGTACTGAGTTCGAATCTTACCTGCAGCTATTAAACGGAATTCAGCAGTGAGCCTAACGTTGTGGTATTTATTTATTGTTGAACAACACAAAGTTAATATGTAGATATAAAACTAACATTATGAGGCCGAAAAAAGCATAATCCATGCGGCCTGTGTTGGCGTAATTGGTAGCACGATGGCTTCATACCCACAGGGTACCTAGTTCGATTCATACCTCCGGACACAAAATTGTGGAAGAGGCATGCACGGAATCACATCCGTTCGAATGTAGGACACCAGGTATGCTTCCTCGAACTCGATCGAGAGGAAATCTTCAGCTAAAAAACGGAATTCAGCAGTACGATTAACATTGTGGTGTTTATTTCGCCAAAAAAAAGTTGCATAGCCACGGCCTGTGTTGGCGTTGTTGGTAGAGTTATGGCTTCGTATCAACAGGGTACCGAGTTCGAATATTACCTCCAGCTATTAAGCGGAATTCAGCAGTGAGCCTAACGTTGTGGTATTTATTTATTGTTGAATAACACAAAGTTAATATGTAGATATAACAAACTAACAAGTTATGAGGCCGAAAAAAAGCATGGTCCATGCGGTCTGTGTTGGCGTAATTGGTAGCACGATGGCTTCATACCCACAGGGTACCTAGTTCGATTCATACCTCCGGACACAAAATTGTGGACGAGGCATGCACGGAATCACATCCGTTCGAATGTAAAACGCCAGGTATGCTTCCTCGAACTCGATCGAGACGAGGCATGCACGGAATCACATCCGTTCGAATGTAAAACGCCAGGTATGCTTCCTCGAACTCGATCGAGAGGGGAGGTATGGGCTTTCTTCCCTCCTTTTTACCTCCATCCCTCCCTCCATCCCTCCTTCTTACCTCTTGCACCTCTTTTTTACCCTCCCCACACATCCCCATATCGCACTCGAGAGTGCTTCGAGGACTCGCACACTGACGCTCCATGTTATGTGGCCTTCGCGCAACCCCATCGTGCTACCAATTACGCCAGCACAGATCGCACGGATTGTTCGGGGTTCATTCCTCTCGATCGCAATTTGAACGGATGTGATTCCGTGCACGCCTCGTCCACAATTTTGTGTCCGGAGGTATGAATCGAACTCGGTACCCCGTGGATATGAAGCCATCGTGCTACCAATTACGTCAGCACAGGCCACATGGGTTGTTCAGGGTTCATTAGGGGACTGGCGT